TCAGGACCAAGGCAAGGCTGGCATTACCCACATTATTTACTATTGTTTGTGAAATTCTAGACAACGCAATAAGATATAAAACTTAAATAAGATAAATAACTATTGGAAAGGGAAAGATAAAATCATCATCAATTACAGATGATTACTTAGAAAATTCGTAAGAACGAACTCGAAAAATATTAGATGAATTTTTGGTGTTAGTGCTGTCAATTCCGACTCCTACTGACCCTGTGTAGAGCAGAGCAGAACCCTGCCCGGTCTTTTTATGCCATCCTCTCACCTTCGGTGCTATATTAGACAATGCTTCCCTGCTGTTCATAGGGTTTTCATGGCCCGTTTTTTCAGAAGTGGGTGGCCAGGTCCTTCTTCCTAATCTGTCTAGTCTGGAAGCTCCGCTGAAACCTGTCCACCATGAGTGACCCTGCTGGTATTTGAAATACGCGTGGCATAGCTTTCGGCATTGCAGCAACACGCAGCTGCCTCAGTATGACAACTGATAGACAGGTGGTGTGGTTCCCTGACTGGAAACCAACCCAGGCCTGGGTGGTGAGCACGCTAAATCTTAACCACAAGACACCAGAGCTGGCTATTAGATGCATCAAGGGGTTCATTAATTTATTCAGATTTTTTAAAAGAGAAAAAAACCCCAGCATTCTAGTATAAGAGGAATACCCTATTATTATTATATTATAAAATAATTATCCCACTAACATTTATTACATATCATGTGCCAGGCACTGGGATTAACCACTTCTCCAACATCACCTTGTTTAATAACCACATTTAATCCTTTCACTAATCCTAATGAGGTAGGTATGGCTCTTCTCATTTTACAAAAATAGAACTCTACAAACTTAAATAACTTGCCCAAAGAGAGTGGCAGAGCTAGGGTTCAAAATGGGGTCAGGCCTCAAAGTCCATGCATATTCTACTAGCCAGTGCTGTTAGAAAATACAAAGGTAAAACTGAAAGGTCATAAATGCAATACATAATATAAAATACAAAAGAAAAGCTTTGGTAAGGAATGTTTATGATGTAGTAAATTACAAACTCTTGCCAGAGCGTATTAAAAAGGTAAATCTATCTTCCAGGATGGATATGTGTGTATGCACACGACACACACACACACACACACACAATGCTGCATACATACATACACACATATACACTCTGGAAGCTGGAAATTGAATATGTCTGGATTCTTCATGCTTTTGGGAATTAAAAAAGATTTCTCTGTAGCCACCCAAGTATGAAAGCAGACTTATGAAAGGTTCTAAAGCACCAGTAACTACAACAAATGGAATTAGTTTTTATTTCCTGTATGATGTGAAGATAAGTTAGAAAATACAAGTACACAGTATCAGGATACGGCCAAAGTTGATCTTTTCGGAAATCTGTAATTTGCATACATTATTTTTCTACCAGAAACAAGAATGTTGAAGAAATAACTATATGCCTGTGGAAATTCTATTTTCCTGTGGTTTTCAGTCATTGCAGACTTACCCTCTCCACTATCCAGGGGGAGGGTTAAAAACCCACATTCATAACCACACATAAGTGCACTTGTAGAGGCTGAGCCTCTGAAACCAGATTAAAATGGACACAGAGGGGCAAGCACCACTGCCAAAAAGGAGTGCAGTCAAGACAGTAAAACCAAAACAACAAAGGCTGTGTGCCATTAGGACAAGGACTGAGTCTTACTCATTTTATATCCCAATATTGAGCACAGAATCCACGCAGAGCCATGGAGCCTAGCACAGAGCATGGGTCCAGTTCCCTGCATTTATAGAGGATTTTGCTTTCATGCCTAAGCTCTTCAGTTTTATAGAATTTAGTTATCTATTTAAAAGGAAATTTTAAGCTTGAACCCAAGAAATTAAAAACCTTACTTTTTGCAAAGTTAGGAAGCTTATTATATGCATTTATAGTTAACCAACTCTCTCTAAAGGATGACAATTAAGTTGTTTGTTTTCTGTTTTGGACTGTCTGAAGGCCTCTAAGCCTTAGTCTCCCCAACCGTAAAATTTGGGTTAGTGAGGATCCATGGTTCATTTTAATGATCCTATCCTAGGATTATACAATACAACACCCCCTCACAAGGTTACACTGCTGTTTAACTGATCGTTGAAAGATTACCAAGTTGAGCTCTGTTAAAACTTGTAAAATGTGTTGCAGATACAAAAGAGGATGTCAGAAAGCAAATGGGCACCTTCACAGCAACCATCAGAAAATGGAATTGCATTCCTGCATGTGCATTTCTCTTCTCATAGCAGGCGAAAAGGTCCACAGAGCCAATAAGGATAAACTCAATTAGTCAAGTTTCACAAAACTGGAATATTTTAAATGGATTTAAAGGTCATCTACTACTCCTAAGTATATACCCAAGAGAAACAAAAACATATGTCCATACAAAAATGTGTACAGAACGTTCAGAGCATTTTCATAATACCCAAGATGTGAATAATCCAAATTTCTAACTGATGAATGGATAAATTAAACGTAGTGTAGCCATACAATGGAATAGTATTCAGTCATAAAAAGAAATGAAGTACTGATTCACGCTACAACATGGATAAACCCCGAAAACATTATACTAAGTGGAAGAAGGCAGTCACAAAGGACCACATATCATACAATTCCACTTATACAAAACGTCCAGAATAGAAAGACAGTAGATTAGTGGTTGCCAGAGGCTGCCACTGGCAGGGAAAATGGGAGTTTGAGGGAAAATGGAAAGAGATTGCCTACAGGTACATGGTCCTTTTGGGAGTAAAGTGTTCTAAAATTGATTGTGATGATGGTTACACAACTTTATGAATATATTAAAACCCACCAAATTGTATACTTTAAATACATAAATTGTATGGTATGTGAATTATATCTTAATAAAGCTGTTACCAAAAAAAAAACCAAATCATTCCAGTGGGTTCAGCCATCCTGGAGGTGGAGCCTGGGGCCATCTTAGTGAGTGCTGGGAACACAGCAGCAGATCCGAACATTTTGGCCTCAGGCTGTAAAGACGAGGTCTAATAGACTCTCCCAACTGGATCAGAATTCACCTGGTTATCTTCCCTTGGGCAATTTCAACTGGTAGGGTGAGTTCCAAGGACCCAACACGCCATGCTTTCCCAACTAGAGGGGGGCTTCCTAGTCAGGAAAAGAACGGAAATCGAGGATGACAGAGTACTAGATGAAATAGCGATTCTATCAACGGAAACATTTAAAAGCTTGAGATTAATAACGTAGATTTGGGGGTGTGCAAGCAACAGCAGGGCTCGTTTCTGCTCTCATAACAAAAGACAAAGGCCCAGGTCTCTGATAAAACTGCAGCAACGTAGTGGCTGAGAAGTAGTAGAGATAGCTGGCATGTTGTAGCAATGTAGTAGAAAGTTCCAGACATCTATAATTGCAGTTGAATAGGGGATCGTTTTTGCATCTCAGCGACTATCTCTAGAGGGTTTCCCCAGACTCAAGAAAGTACCAGTTCTCAGATTGCCAAGGAAATATCAGTGTTAAGGTTTCCCAGATATAACAAAAGAGGTGTCCAGGATCCTTAACACAGAGGGAGCAGGAGTTAAGTTTTGGGCAGCAACAGACATGAGGCCATGTGGAGGAAAACTGAGCCTGTGTGCACTGGAGGGGAGACACAGAGACACTTAGGGTCCAAGTAAACCAGAAAGCTAAATTCCTAGCTATCTGGGATGGGCTTCTAGGAACCAGGGAGAAGTAAGTAAGAAAGGGAGAGAAAACCTGGAGGCAGCTAACGGTTCTTTTCCTAAATTCCACCTGTGTAACTCCTTATGAAAGGCAGTCTTAGCAGAAGCCTGGGGGTAAAGCACATGCCACTTCATCTAGGTTTATTACCAAGCCGGCAAAGTTAGAGAACAGGTGTCTAGGATAGGTGGGTTTTCAGGTTGAATTAGATGGGGAAGGAGAAGGATACCATCAAGTCATGGTGACTGGATGGCAAGGATTGAGAATGTATTCAAGAGCCTCGGGGACAAAGGGTGAGGGGCTCAGGCACAATGACCGGGCCAAGAGCGCTAAGACTGAGAAGGAGTTTCAACAAATGTTTTGGGGCCACCAGGAGGAGTGGAGCATGCTCTTGGGCCAACTGCCTCCTAAGGCAGCAGGTCCTTGTATTTTTCCCACCATTGGCTGGTACCGAACTCAGAACACGTTTAGCCACCAAGTTTAGGCCTGACAGCTGGCTGGAAGGCACAGTCAGGAGTCAAGGAGTAGGGTGTCCAGGGCCCTGGGCTCCTGATGAGATGAGTCTCCTTCACGTTAGTAGAACACCTAGCTTTCCTATTGATTATTTCTATCTCGGCTTTGAACAGACAGAGCTCTCTGGAGAATGATTATCCAGACTCCTGCTCCCTGCCCATCCACTGCCTTTTGGATCCTGAAATGCTTGCATAATCTTGGGGCCAACTTCCACTCTAATGAGGTCACCTGACTATATTACCACTTCCTAATCCTAATAGGGTCTCCAGGCTATGTATGTTACCCATACGTACACACACATAATTCATGGCGATAGTGTGTTCTGCACTGGTTTCTGGCCCAACGTGCCAGTAGGTACCTAAATATTTTCTGAGGATGACTTCTGACTGAAAGTTGCATCAGACATGGCAATCCTAGGCTGCCTCAATCTGTAACACTGATTTATACACAAGATTGCCTCACTTTATCAATTCTGCATTTCCCTATTTATTCCATATTAATCAGTGGCCTCTCTCCCCATCTCAGTTATGCAGATGCTTAGGCCAAAGGAACATAATATGTTTTTGGTCAGAATATAGTCCCCCAACCCTTTATCCTTCTAGAATAATCACAATGAAAAATAAGAGAAAGAAAGGGCATAGTTTTAGTTATTTGAATGACTTAATCTCCTTTAGACTTTTGCTAATTTGCCTATTTGGCTTAACCGATTTTGTAAGTTCTCAAACCATGAGCAACACAAGACAGAACTGTTCCTTAAGCAAAGAATCAAATACCTCCCAAACATGTCGCTGTGCAAGGGGTAAACCCAGCGTACTCCCAGTCATAAATCATCTCACTGTCCTTCTCGGGAAGAGAGACGTCCAGCTCGCGGGAGGCGGGGCTCTCCTCGCACGCTTCGAGGAGGCAAGGCCGCTCAGTGGGCAGCGTGGGCCCTTCACACTCTTCCTCTGGCAGCTCAGTCTCCGTCTGCGTGAACGTCAGGAGCACACGGCACTTCACCTCTCGGACCTGGACGCCTGGCCCACACGTGGTACTGCAGGCTGACCAGGGCTCTGGGATGAACCTGCGGAAAAGCAGGGAGCCAGAGGACACCGGCAGTCGTTACGGATAGGCCGCAAAAGAGGAGCGACAAAGACTCTAGGAAGGCAACAAACGACTTCCTTCAGAAGAAATTCAATACGTTTGGAATGCTATACTTTTGTTGAGGCTCAATTATGTAGTTAACAAATTTTCAAATCTTATTAGCGACACGAAGAATTTTTCACTAGAGATACGCTGAACCTTTGCATCCATTTTATAATTCCAATTCTGTGCTATGTCCTTTGCACACCATTAAAAGGTTTTCTTTAAGATTTGGTCATAGATAAACTATTATGTAGAGAGAATTTCTAATCTGATTTCTTTTACAATATGGAGATTTTCACCAATATTCACTCAACAAATCTTTATCGAGTTTATCCTTTGCTAACAGGCAGAGTTTTATTAAACTGTTTCAACATTTAGGAGCTAAATTGTAGAATAACAAATGCTTTCTCTAGAGTAGATGAAGTTTTAATATTCTTTTCTATTTAATATATAAATACACTAAACTTCTGAGTCCTCTTAAACATACCAAAACTATTGCACAATCTGGCTGAATACAGCATTTATTTCTTATCCTGAATTACTATCCACTAAATCCAAGGTTGTCAACCTATGGCCTACAAGTCAAATCCAGCCCACTTGTTTCTGTACAGCCCACCAGCTAAGAATGATTTTTACATTTTTAAATGGTTTGTGGGAGGAAAAAAAAGAAAAGAGTAATAATATTGTGTCATGTGAAAATTACATAAAATTCAATATGTGTCCATAATTAAAGATTTATTGGAATATAGCCACAGTCATCTGTTCACCTACTGTTTATGGCTGCTTTTGTGCTACACAGCAGAACTGAGTATTTGCAAAGAGAATGTTCAGGCTGCAAAGCCTAAAATATTTACTATCTGGCCCTTTACAGAAAATGTTTACTGACTCCTTGCACTGAATTTAAAAAATAGATTCAGTAGGGACATATATATTTAAGATACTGTGAAGCAACACTTGCATCATGAAACATTAGCAAGTAATAGGCGGGAAAGAGTTCAGTGATAGAATAAGTTTGGAAAACTCTGGGTTCAATAACGTTCAACAGATTTATTTACTGCAAAACTTTTCCAAAGACTATGATATATGAATGCATACTATAAATACTTAAGAGGGGAATATGGTATGCATAATTTCATAAACTTAAGTGAATACAGACCTCTATTCACGGGATAAGGTGGTACTAAATAACTTCAGAAAATGCTGCTGAGATGTTTGCTTAACATGCAGGTCCAAGGCTTAATGTTTAAAACCTCAGAAAGATACGGTTGTAAGGGTCTCACGGAAGTCATCCAACCTTCCTTCCCAGACAAGACTTCATCACTGTTGTCCACAAGAGCACATCCCAATCAGCAGAATGAAACACATGTGCTACATATGAGCCCAATAAAGAATATCAATAAACCCCCCAAAATTTATTATGTTGAAAGTTGTTAGTGGGGAATTCTATTCTCTGATCTTCACATTCCATGAGAGGGTTGCTTGACATCCCAGGATGGGGTAGGACTGGAGTAATATTTGCAACGTTTCGTCTTTTCTCTCTTTGCTGCTCTCCCTGATAGAACTGGAAACGAGGCTGACAAAATTTAAGATGAGGTATCCATACAATGTAATAGTATGAGGTCGTTTAAGAGTAGGAGGTGGGTCTATATGAATTGATCAGGAATAGTCTCCTCCTGGAGGTTGTTAAATGAAATAAGTATGGAGTAGTTCATAGACTGTGATCTCTTTTGTCTAAATACACAAAAAGGGTATATATATGCATATACAGTACATACTGTATGTACATACTGTACATATGTACATATTGTATATATATTTATAGCATATATGTCTACATATGCCGATTGTTGTATAATTTTTCTTTTCTGGAGGCAATTGCCAGTATCAGGGACTGGAGTGTATAAAGAGAGAGGCTTTTACTTTTTGTTTTGTAGCTTTAAAAGGTTTGAATTTTCTAACCATGTGCATACTGCACTTTTATGGACATTAATTTTTTTCTCTTTTCTCCTTAGTGATAAAAACTTAAAATTTGGGATTTTGTTTTATTTTTATTCGAATTGGACTCCTGTGTCTTGGTGATTCAGACTCCTAAGAGAAGATGGGGAAGTGAGAAGGCTCACCTCCACTCCCAACAGGGCAAATGATGGTCATACCCAACGTTTTCCTGGGTGTCCTGGATGTTTCAAGTTGGTTTTCAAAGGTCCTTTAGGAGTCCTCTTAACAAATAGGTGTCAGAGCTGTCCAAATTAGCCATGAGTGACTGAAGGGGGTGGGATGGCAACTCAAAAACCTTACACATAACCTGGCATGATTTTCTTCTATGTATTATTTTTTTATTTAAACAAAAGATACTATGGTGTTCACACAGTTCTGAATCTTGTTTTGTTTTTCCCCCACAGTAATTTGTTTTGAAAAGAAAAGAACGGAACACAGCTGCATGAAAATATCTGAAGAGCCATGTCAGGGCAAAACACAAGCAGAGAGACAGAGCATGTTCCTTAGTCTTTGCACAACAGAAGAACTTGAGAAGAGCAATTCACTAATGTGAGAGCTTAGACATGAAATGATAAAACAACAGAATAAAATGGAAAACTACAGAGCTGAGGAAACAAACTGTGAAATATAACGTTATTACAAATATAACAAGTAATTCAGAACCAGGAGAAAAACAGAAGACACACAGCTGAAGATCAAATTAATGACAAAGAGGCAAGACTTGGAAGTGAATGCAGTGTTGAGAGAGAGAAAGAGAAGCAATTGTGGGGGAGGGAGGGATGGGCTGCAAAGAAAGCTTTTAGGGGTGACGAAGATGTTCTGTATCATGAGTGGGGCTGGGGTTTTATGGCTGTATACATCTATTAAAACTCATCACTTTAAATAGACAGTTTATTGTATGTAAATTATACCTCTCTAAAACTGATTTTCTTAAATGCAGTTTTTTAGAGACAAAATGAGAGAGAACCTAAATAATTCAATATTGAAGATAAGGATCCTTCAAGTAGAGGTTCCAACACATGAAACACACAAAGTGTTCAGAAATAAAATATGTAAAAATGTGCCTAAAATACAGCTTGGAAAGGTACACTGTCTTCAGGAAAAAGTGATAAAAAATGATTAACATAAAAACTAGAGTTTTAGGCAGAATAACGGCCCTCCCAAAGATGCCCACACTCTAAGCCCTAGAATTTATGAATATGTTACATTACATGGCAAAACGGATTTTATAGATGTGATTAAGATTACGGATCACAAGAAAGGGAGATTATGCTAGTGGGCCTAATCTAATCACATGAGTCCTTAAAAACAGAAATTTCTCTGGCTAGAGTCAGAGATGCAGCAGAACAAGAGACAAGAGAGATTCGAAGCATGAGAGAACTCAACCTGTGGTTGCTGGCTCAAAGATGGAAGGGGCCAGGAGCCGAGGAATGCAGGCGGCTTCCGGAAGTTGAGAACAACTCCTGGTCAACAGCCAACTAGAAAATGGAGCTTCGGTTCTACCACTACATGGAACTACCTGAATGAGGCTGGAAGCAGATTTTACCTGAGGGCCTCCAGAGAAGAGCTCAGGCTGACAGACACCTTGATTCTGGCCTACTGAGACCCAGAGCAGAGAAACCAGTTGAATCTACTGGGCTTCTGACCTATGGAACTGTGAGATAGTAAATTTGTGTTGGTTTAAACCACTAAGTTTGTGGTGATTTCTTACAGCAGTCATAGAAAACAATTATAGCTGACTAAAAAATTAAAACTTTGAGGATGAAGAAAGAATTGTACAGGCATCTAGGCACAAAACACAAGCCTCGTATAAGAATAGAAAGTCAGGTGGACCTCAGACTCACACAACATTCAAAACCAGAAAAAATGGGGCAAAAGTTTTGAGAGAGAATCAGGGTCCCAAGAATATTATGTCCAATAAAATTATTATTCAAGTACAATGGCAATAATTTTTTATAGAATAGGAACAGTAATAGTACCAACCTAACAGGGTTTAGGAGAGGATTAAAGGAGAGGATTAAATGAGTTGATGCCAGAGTGAAAAGCTCAATGAGTACAATAAAATAAAAATGGCCACTACTGACATTCATTGCACTGTTAATTGTGTGAGGTACTGTTCTATTCACTTCACACACATTTTATCATTTACTCATAACAATCCTATCAGGAAATATTATCATCATTCCCATTTAGCAGATGAGGAAACTAAGGTATAGAGAGTAATTTTTCAAAGATTACACAGTAGCTGCTGGCATTATTTTACACTGCCTCATCAGTATCATTTTAAGATCATCCAAGATGACAGTAAAAGAATCCAAGGAAAATTTGAAAATATTGTTTGGGGGCATTTTTTTTTTATTTCAAAAATGAATAAACAGGACCAGCCCCGTGGCGTAGTGGTTAAGTTTGGCATGCTCTGCCTTGGCAACCTGGGTTCGCAGGTTTGGATCCCGGGCATGGACCTACACCACTCATCATTCATGCTGTGGTGGTGAACCACATATAAAAAAGAGGAAGATGGGCACAGATGTTATCTCAGGGACAATCTTCCTAAAAAAAAATGAATAAACAAATAAAACACCAATATCCAATTGATAAAATAATTCTTCAGCATAAAAGAAGAAGAATCTAACATGTATTAGTGAAAGAAAAGCATATTTGGGGAAAATATTTATTATCAGAAACAGAAGGAAATGCATCTACTTAAAATTTAATAACAATAAAATTCAAGGAAACATCTCTAAAACAAAAGATAAAACTGTGATTAAAAAGTCAAAATATGGCTGAAGAAACCTCTGGTTTAGCTGAGAAAAGCTAGAAAAGCACTAAAATAAATAATGCAAAGTTTGCTTCTGTAACAGAAGAAAATTCAAATGAACAGAATGAAAATATATTCAGCGATGAGGAGGGCAAGTGCTTTTGTTTGAAGGGAAGGTGTGCTTC